TAGAGTGCACGCCAAAAAAGCATGAAACAATTCTTAACTATCAACATCTAATAAGATTTAGTTATCAACTAACTAAGAATTCACTGGGGCATGAACACAATGCCAGAAAGGAAACTTGTCTTTGTTTATGCCTCACTAAATTCTTAGTTAGTTGATAACTAAATCTTATTAGGCGCTAATTACTTAAGAATTGTTTCATGCTTATGTGGCGTGCACTCTAAAATATGATATGATATCTTTTTTAGCCATAATCAAAAGATGCATATATATTTTCAGCGAGTCTAGATGACCCTTGACAATGATTCCATGACTTCCCAGGCCTGGAAAACTGAAATATGTAATTCTATGAATTTCCTGTACAAACCCTAACATAGTGGTAGTTTTGTTGGTATTTGGCTGTAGTTGGTGTTTGGTGGTTGAGTAGATAGTGGTTCGTTATAGTATAGTGTGTATACGTTGTAGTTAATAGTTTGGTTGTTGGATGGGTAGTGGTTCTATTGTGGTTAATAGTCGTGGTTAGTAAAAAAGATGAAGTATCCTTGTCCAACATAAAGTACTCGTCATATAAAAATGTAAATTTGCGACAGCATACTTTATCAACGCTACACACAACCACAACAACAATCATTCGTCAAGTTTTTGCATACAGCTTTTCAAACTACAGTTCCTACACGAATTCCTTACCTTGTGTATTAGATTAAAATGTAAAAGGGCCAATGGAAGAGAACCATATCCTAACATAAACTGCTTTTGTAAATACATTAGTGGTATTACAAGGCATCTGAGCCAGAAAGGAAATTCGGTGACCTTTTTCCATCCAAATCCTTCCCAAGCATTAATAACCTGGAGAGAAACATTAAGTTATCATCATATATTTACCCATGAAATAAAAATATTCCTCATTTCAAACTTGTTATTTTTTACTAGTGACAGTTATCTTAAAACAYAATTTTCTTWTTATGGATAATCATATGATAAACATTATACAGTAATAGCCGCAATTAAGAGCCTGTAAATAGGTTAAAGAACCTGTTTGGACTTTATATCTCCTTTCAAAAGCTCATACATAATTAATGAGTTATTAGGCCAATGGAATGAGCCTATTTGGTCACATGCATGGACCTTTATATCTGATATTAGTATTTTTATATAAGTGATATTTAAAAAACGAGTAGGAGTGTTTTATCGTGAGATATAAACACGAGGCCGAAGTTTTTTTTATATCCACGATAAAACACGAAATACGAGTTTTTAAGGTATCTGGATACAGTTGTTTAGAACACCGACCGGGACGAAAGAAACGGGTCAAAWAGTAATTTAAGTTGKTCAGATCGTAATAATATTTTACTACATGATTAACAAGGGATTCAAACTGATTCATAAAAATTATTGAGTAAATGTTTGGAAAATCGGATTTAACAGGAAAATGCTTTTACAGCTATTTCAAACAAATTAAGCCTATTTTTCCGCGATATCTCAGGGACATAATATTAGAKGTATTGCCTAACTATAACCAAAGTTTGGTCGAAATTCATCGACGAAAGACAACATCATGCRGTACTTAACTTGGAGCAAGAATTTTCAAAGAAAAAGAGCGTTATACAAAACCAAAAATTTACATTTTATTTTGTATCAAATATATATTGACCGATTTCTGGAAAAGAACTTCCCTATCATATTGTTACGTTCATTAATTTGTTTGAAATAGSTGTAAAAGCGTTTTCCTGGATTTCCACATAAAACGCATAAATTAAATCCGATTTTCCAAAAATTTAGTCAATTTGAATTTGAATCCCTTGTTAATCATGTAGTAAAATATTATTACGATTTGACTARCTTGAATTACTTTTTGACCCGTATCTTTCGTCCAGGTCGGTGTTCTAAACAACTGTATCCAGATACCTTAAATGACTTCTAAAACCCAAACCTAAGAAACTACAATATTTTAGTTTAACAAGAATAAATAAAAAAATATCAAAAATGAATAATTGATGAAGATAGTGATCATTTGAGCATGCGCAGTAATCAACTTGGTTTCCCACATCCAAGCGCCACTATCTTTTAGTCTTCTATGAATCTGCAATAACTACATTTCAACTTGAAACCTAGTAAAGTTCTATGATGAGAGTCTAAAACTGAGAACTTTTCTAGTGTTCGGMACACATCGAGTGTCTGTAAATCAATTACAACACTGATGATGTTTTATGCATCGGTTAGTTATAAAACTCATGTTTAATTAATCAGTGTTTGTAACTTGGGTTATAGCTTCTGTCATGTAACCCATAGTTGAATGCTCATTGGAAGAATGAGTTTTAGAAAGAATGCGTTTTAGAAAGAATGCTAATATGGACATAGGCCGCCCAACTATTACTTTAGAGACATAAAAGAACGACTGCGCAAGCTTTTATTAGAGTGAAAGAAGGATCCGGCTGACGGCGTACCACCACAAGAAGAGGGAGGATCAAGACCAAGAAGATGGCCGTATAGAAGAAGACGTGGAGGAGTACTACCCAAAGGTACCTGGCCCTGGAAGGAACTGGAACCCGCCGAAGGCAAGCATCCCGGAGATTGAAGTGTTCCTGGCAACCGTGAAACGAGAACTTTTTAACCCTAACAATTTGAGGGTCGCCAAAGATAATCTGACCCAGGCAGAAAGATCTGCATTAAGGGAGTTGAAAGCCGACAATGACAGGGTTATTAGATAAAGGATCAAGGTTTGTCATCATGGATAAGAACGATTATATTACCAAGATGGATGGACAGTTAAACAACCCACTACATTATCAAAGGTTAGAACAAGATCCTACTAACCTCCATTTAGACAAAGTTAAGACCTGGGCGTCTAAACTGTTGACTAGAAGACAAATCCCTGAGGATATTGCTGCTTGGGTTGTTAACGAAGAAGCGAAAGCTGGTACGGCATTTGGTAATGTAAAAACACRTAAGAAAGATAACCCTGYTCGACTTATTACATCTTGCTGTGGCACAGCCATTGAAAATTTGTCGGCTTTCACAGAATTTTATTTGAAGCCTTTAGCTTCTGGACTGCCCTCATTTGTTAGAGACACTACTGATTTGTTAAATAGAATAGATAGATTAAATAGATCAGGCCCATTGCCATAACACCATTTTAGTATCATGGGATGTTGTAGGAATGTTTCCTAATATTGACAACAACTTAGGATTAACTGCGGTTAAAAAG